CACTCACACTCTCACACACACACTCTCACTCTCACACACACACTCACACACACACTCACACTCTCACACACACACACTCACACACACTCTCACACTCACACTCACACACACTCTTACACTCACACTCACTCTCACACTCTCACACTTACACACTCACACTCTCACACACACACTCTCACTCTCACACTCACACACACTCACACCTCTCACACACACACACTCTCACACTCACACTCACTCTCACACACACTCTCACACACACTCTCACACACACTCTCACACACTCACACTCTCACACACACACACTCACACACACTCTCACACTCACACTCTCACACACACACTCTCACACACACACTCTCACACTCACACTCACTCTCACACACACTCTCACACTCACACTCACTCTCACACTCACACTCACTCTCACACACACTCTCACACTCACTCTCACACACACTCTCACACTCACACTCACTCTCACACTCACTCTCACACACACTCTCACACTCACTCTCACACACACACTCACACGATTTTTTGCACAATTCTGACTTTCCTCAGAAGAGTGAGATATAAACTTGCAGTTGCGAGTTATAAAGACCAATCCTAAGGGGAAAAAAAGACTGACTATTTTCTTACAATTGCACGTTTCTATCATGCAATTCTGAGATAAAAAGTCACAATTACCTTTTTTTATTTTTTTATTCAGTAGCAGAAACAGGCTTTTATAGCATAATACTGTACTATTTACTCCACTACATTTGATCAAATCTTGTCGTTCCTCGTTATTTCGAACTGGAGAAATCGTCACCTGCTCCGGGACGGGATAGCGGTGTCTGATGCGTGAATCAGTTCCCAAATCGCACTAAACGATTCATTTTGTTTGCACTCATGAATTATAATTTCTTGCAAAATAATTAAAACAAACATTCAGTACATAAAAAAATAATCTACTTTAGTACTTTTACTGGAGTAAAGTTGAAAAGGAGTATGTTTCTACAGGAAGCGAGCTGTTGGACTGACGCTCATGTCAGAATCAGACGCATGAATAGACTCATCTCTTTAACCTCCACTGCAGTCATTTATATCGTGTCACACAGAATCTGTGCACTTCCTGTTCTGATTAGAAAGGAACTCTCACTGATTACAAGACAACAGTCAAACGGCTTTAACATGCAACTATGAGAACAAAAAAATAGATTTTCAGACTGAAATCGTGTTTGCTGGGCTCCAGTGTTGTGGTTGCTATGCTATGCAGGTGCTGGGGTGATATGAGTGGTTGCTAGGGTGTTGCTGTGTGGATGCTGTGGTAGTATGAGTGGGCTTTGATATGTTGCTATGCAGTTGCTAAAATAATCTAAGTGTTATGGGGCTTAATATATGGTTGCTATGGTGTCCTGAGTGTTTACTATTGTGTTGCTATGCAGATGCTAGAGTGTCCTGAATGGTTGCTAGGGTGTTGCTATGTGGTTGCCATGGTGTTTTGAGTAGTTGCTAGGGTGTTGCTATGTGCTTTCTAAAGTGGTATGAGTGGGTTTTGATATGTTGCTATGTGGTTGCTAGAATATTGTAAATGTTAAGGGCATTAATATATGGTTGCTATGGTGTGCTGAGTAGTTGCTATGGTGTTGCTATGGGGTTCCTGAGGTGGTACGAGTGGGTTTTGATGTTGCTTTGCAGCTGCTAGAATATTCTAAGTGCTAAGGGCATTCATATCTGGTTGCTGTTGTGTGCTAAATAGTTGCTGGGGTGTTATTAGTGATTGTTAGGGTGTTGCTAAGTTGTTCTAAGAGATAGTATGAGCTGGTTTTCTTGGGCAGAGCTATGTCTTGCCTTGGTTGCTTGGGTGTTGCTATGGGGTTCCTGAGGTGGTACGAGTGGGTCTTGATCTGTTGCTATGCGGTTGCAAGAATATTGTAAGTGTTAACGGCATTAATATATGGTTGCTAGGGTGTTGTGTGTATTTGATAGGGTGTTGCTGTGTGGTTTATAGGGTGTTGCTATGTGGTTCCAGAGGTGGTATGACTGGTTTTTGATATGTTCTTATTCAGTTGCTAGAATATTCTAGGTGTTAAGGTCATTATATGGTTGCTATGGTGTGCTGAGTAGTTGCTAGGGTGTTATGAGTGGTTGCTAGGGTGTTGCCATGTGGTTCCAGAGGTGGTATGGGTTTTCATATGTTAGCATGTGGTTGCTAGGATATTTTAGGTGTTTACTAGGACATTGCTATATGGTTGCTAGTGTGTTCTAAGCAGTTACATTGGTTACCTATGAAATGGCCGTCATAATAAACGAAGGACACATCCTTGTCGATCTTCTTCCACTCGATGCGAGGATTCTTGTCGTTTTCTGTCCTGAACTCACAGGAGAGCTCAGCGTCTGTGGAGAACAGCAGACGTGATGGAGTTACAGCACATCATCTGACTGATGTCTCCATGACGACACACACACTCACCCAAGAACTCATGCACTTCCACTCCAGGACTGCGGCTGGTGACAGTGACGGGGACGACGGCTGCGCCTGAAACAGAGAACAACACAGTGAAAAATACCTGCTATGTGTGTATATACACTGTCAGTCAGTGTGTGTTGTCTAGGTGTTTGCTAGACCACACCTACATGGTTGCTATAATGTTCTGGATAGTTGCTAGGATGTTACTATGTGGTTAGTAGGGTGTTATGACTGGGTTTTGATATGTTGCTATGGGGTTGCTAGGGAGTTCTAGGTGTTTGCTAAGACACTGAAATATGGTTGCTATAGTGTTCAGAGTTGTTGCTATGTGGTTGCTTACAGTGTTATGAGTGGACTTAATGTGTTGCTATGCGGTTGCTAGGGTGTTCTAGGTGTTTGCCTGGACATATCTATACGGTTGCTATAGTGTTATGGCTATATGGTTGCTGAGGTGTTACAAGTGTTACAAGTTACAGTTGCTATAATGTTCCGAGTAGTTGCTAGGGCGTTACTATGCAGTTGCTAGGGTGTTATGAGTGGGTTTTGATATGTTGCTAGATGGCTTCTAAAGTGTTCTAGATGTTTTCTATGTCACTGACATACAGTTGTTAAGGTGCTCTGTGCGGTTGCTAAGGGGTTGCTATATGATTGTTGAGGTGTTCTAAGTGGTTTTTAGCATGTTGCTATGAGGTTCTAGATGTTTTTAGGGCACAGATGTATGTTGTTCTGAGTTGTTGCTAGGGTGTTGTTCCTATGCAGTTGCTAGGGTGTTGCTATGTGGTTCCTGAGGTGGTATGGGTGGATTCTGATATGTTGCTATGCGGTTGCTAGGGTGTTGCTATGTGGTTCCTGAGGTGGTATGGGTGGATTCTGATATGTTGCTATGCGGTTGCTAGGGTGTTGCTATGTGGTTCCTGAGGTGGTATGGGTGGATTCTGATATGTTGCTATGCGGTTGCTAGGATGCCCTAGGTGCTTGTTAATGCATTTATATATGGTTGCTAGGGTGTTGCTCTGCCACATAGCAACTAAAGAGTGAAACTCTCACTGTTGTGAATAACGCACAGCACTCTGGTGGCTCTAGGATTGTGTTTGCAGACTCCCAGTGGGATGAACAAGCACAATATGGGTTTCTAAACATAACTGATATCATTCTGACTAGTGAACAGACACCGCTTCTGTTTGCCTGTGCGTTTGCGGCTAAAGTTGGATTCTGATTTCCGTACAGGAAAAGGAAACGTGTGTCCCTTCCTGAATAACATGACAGTCATTGTTGGCCTTCCCGTTTCGGCCCACACATCGTTAAACTGAGAGCAATAATGAAGAACACAAGCCATAGAGATCAAATTCACGACACGAGTGACAAACTAAAGTAGGTTTCCAGACCAGATGTGCGTTGTAATGACTTTTACAAGATCAGGTGCCCGGCTTCCTCTTCTTTCTCATTCGTATGAATCACTTTCAGATTGTTATCTTCCAGATAAATGAGTGTGTAATTCCTCGTTAAAGTGCCAGTTGCTGATAATGACGTGTGCGGAAACTGAGCATCCAAAACACTTCTTGGAATTGTTGTTTCCTGACTGATTACAGTACTTGATCTGTCGATGTTTTGGTGTTTAAAGGAAGCACCAATCAGAACACGAGACGGATCAGAATGAGATGGGGATCTAGTGATGGTTTTAGTCTCAAGAAATCACAAAAACCCTTCGGTCAAACTGAACAAATCACACAAAACCTCCCAAACCACATCATTTACTAACAAAACTGCTTTATCTTGTTTTCTTTAAAGTATGTCAGATTGCCCTGAATATGATATGTGTGTTTATATTTATATAATGGTATTACCATTGTACATGTCCAAAAACGCTTGGTAAAAAGCATGGTATTACTGGTTAGTGTTGCGTCTTGCTGTTTTTGCCTTAAAAATTGCACTGTGGCAGTACCGTAGTAAAGCGATGGCATCACATGGTAATACTATAGTACTTTAAAGTGTAAATTCATGTAAAAACGATATTTACATGGGTATTTTAAGAACATCATGGTAATGTAAACGCTACTTTTTTAGTATGTTAGAGTACCATTTTTTTAATACTTGAAAATGGTTATTATTCAGCATCATGGTATAACCAATAAAACATGGTAATACCATTACACTTTTTTTAGTTAGATTTGCATTTTGCTGTTTCTGCTTTACAAGCATGTACTGTGGCAGTATAGTACAGTGATGCTATCACAAGGTAACACTATAGGATAGTACTTTAAAGTAAACATTAATGTACAAATGACATTTACATGGGTATTTTAGGAACTTCATGGTAGTTCAATGCTACTTTTTATGCACTGTAATTCTATATAGTACATTATGTACTGTATTATATACTATACTAATAGTATTATTTATATTACTACATTATAGTATTCATTAACATTATTTTTTAGTTTTTATTTTTAGTTTAAATTTTTTAAATTTGATTATGTGCTTTTGTCATTTGTATTACTTAGTTTCTATATATATATATCACTTCGCTTTTATTAATTTTTTTCAGTTGTAGTTATTTTAGTACTTAAACTTATTTATTTAATTCCAAGGCAACATTTCTAATTTTTTGTATTGAATATATTTTATTTCAGCTAAATGAAACCCGTTTTTAACAGTTTTAGTGTACATTAACAGCAGTGATATTATCTTTTTTTAGTTTTCATTTTAGTTTAAACTAAGAATTTGATTGTGCTTTTGTTATTTTTAGGACTTTTTCTGTTTTTAAATAGGCCTATTTCATTTAGCTTTAATTTATTTTTATTTCAGTTTTAGTGATTTTAGTACTCAAACTTATTTTATTTAATTCCAAAGCAACATTTGCACTTTTTAAATCTAATATTTATATTTATTTCAGCATTATTTCAATGAAATCTGTTTTTTAGTGTACTTTAACAGCAGTGGTTTGTCTGGAAGGCTTCTGTCAGCACACGCGTGTTTTAGTGCTCATGTCTCCGTTTAAACATGCATTAAATGCATGTTCCTCCACATCTGTATTATTCCAGTTGTGGAGTATGAAACGAGACGGTTGTACATCATCTTATCAAACCTCTTAAGCTGCTGTCAGTCATCCACTCATTCACCTTATATATGATGAATACTTCAGACATTCATATGAAAATCATTTCCTCTCGCTCATGTGCTGTGGAACACAAAAGGAGATGTTTAGCAGATGGTTCACGCTGCTCCTCACCGAACACTCTGCTAACGTCTCCTTTTGTGTCTGCCTGAAGAAACAAAGTCATATGGGTTTGGAACGATATGAGTGAGAGTAAATAATGGCTGTATTTCTGGTCAGCAGAGATTTCTAGCTGCATCTTATCAGCGAGCTCGACCTTGCACCTGACGTCTTATCACCTCTCCCTCCGTCTGCGTCTCAGGAGGCATTGTGTGCTGACGGGAATCAACGTCGCACATGAAAACACTGTGTCCAGTCTGATAAGACAAGACCTGACAGCAACTGTCCCACACACAGACATGCACACACACACACACACACAGACATGCACACACACACACACACAACACACACACACACACACACAGAGACACACACACACAGACACACACAGAGACACACGCACAGAGACAGAGACACACACAGAGACAGAGACAGACACGCACAGAGACAGAGACAGACACGCACAGAGACAGAGACAGACACGCACAGAGAGACAGACACGCACAGAGAGACAGACACGCACAGAGCTACAGACACAGACAGAGAGACAGACACGCACAGAGAGACAGACACGCACAGAGAGACAGACACGCACAGAGAGACAGACAGACAGACACACACACACACGCACACAGACACACACACACACACACAGACACAAACAGACAGACACACACACACTACACACAGACAGACACACACACACACACACATACACAGATAGACACACACACACAAACACACAGACACACACACACACACACACACACACACACACACA